CTGGGGTCTTGTGCCCACTGGGCTCCCTGGGCAGCTTGGGCTGAGACTAGGGCAGTAGGCATTCTGCCAAGAAATACCCAGGAGCCGGTTTTTCAAGACTGAATCAGAGGCCTCCCACCCTCCTTCTTGCCAAAGCAGTAACACTGCTGGAAGGGGGAGCCTGGGCGTGGTGTCCCCTCCAGCCTTTGTGAGCTCCCAGGACCCCCCTTCCCCACTTGCTGCTTCCCCCGCTGTGCTTCTGTGTGGTCTGGGGTTGCTACTATTCAGGCCTTCCCAGGGACGAGAGGGTGGGGATGCTGGAATTCCAGCCACCGCACTCTCATGGCTAAAGCGCCTCTTCTCTTCTCTGTATTCAGGTTTGAGGGAAGACTCTGGGAAGGCAGGGAAGTGGCAGCAGTTAGCAACTCACAGTAGTCATGATGGGGCACTCTTCTGAGGATAGGGGGGCTCAGAGAGCAGTTGGAATAAGGACACGAGACATTCATTCATTCATTTCACAAATATTTATTGAGCATCTACTGTGTGCCAGGTCCTGTTCTTGGCAGAGGATACAACTCTGTGAGTGGACAAGACAGGCAAAAATCCCTGCTCTTGGGGAGCTGGCATTCTACTAGGGGAAATGGCAACAAACAAGTTAACAAGTATATAAAGAAGATACCTTCAGATTTTGATCAGTGCTGTGAATAAAATATAAGGGGGTGACATGATAGAGAGTAACTGGGGGTGGGGGGGACTCTCAGAGGAGGTGACTCTGGAGCAGAGGCCTGAATGACACAAAGGAGCCAGCCCTGCAAAGATCAGGCCAAGGGCACAGCCAGGACCTTTGTGAGCCTGGAACAGTGTGGTTGGGGAGGAGACGGGGCTGGAGCATCAATTCTGCAGGGATCTGCGGATGACAGTAAGGAGTTTGGAGTTTCTCCTCTGGGAGGTGCGGAACCGTTGTAAGGTTTGAGGCGGGGGAGTGACATGATCTGGTTTATGTTTTAAAATAGAGACATAAAGTTAAATAACAGCCCAAGGCTAGAAGATAAAGAGTTTTGCCAGGGCAGCATGTAATTAAGTTCATGTGCCTTAGCCAGCAGGACCACAGAAGCTGGACCACAGAGGCAGTTCCATCAGGCTAGGGTAAACAGGGGAGGCTGCCTGGAGGTGGTGGCCTGGAGTTGGCCTTGGCAGACAGAGGACTGGGATGTTCCTGTGCAGGATGGGTGAGGGGGCACAATAATAATAAAAACTCCCTCAAATGGAGTGTCGGAGTCCCTGGGTGGTACAAACAGTTAATGCACTCAACTGCTGACCAAAAGATTGGAGGTTTGAGTCCACCCAGAAACACGTCAAAAGAAAGGCCTAGCAATTTACTTCTGAAAAATCAGCCACTGAAAACCCTATGGAGCACAGTTCTACTCTGACACATGTGGGGTCACCATGAGTTGGAATCAATTGGATGGCAACTGGTTTTAAAATGGAGTATCAGGCAAAGTGCTAAGTGGGCTTCATGTATAATCTGGTTGGATTCCCATAAGCACCCTGAGAGATAGGTATTCTGCCCATTTTTCAGATGAGGAAACAGACCCTGTGAAGTGAAGTGACTTGCCCACGGCCACGCAGCTGTTAAGTGGCAGAGTGAAATTCAAACCCAGGCCACGTTGCCTTTCTGGCCTGTAAGGCAAATTCAGTAAACACCCACCTTCCTCACCACCATGATTCCCACCTCACAAATGAGGACACAGAAGCCAGCCTGGACCAGGGCAGTGGGGTGGGAGCAGAGAAAGTAAAGAAGTTGGGAAGTGGTGATTGGGATATGGGAGTTCAGGGAAAAGGAGGAAGTTGGAATCTTGGCCACTGACTGGAAGATGATTTAGATGAAAGTAGTAATAATCATCACCGATATTTATGAAGCCTTTACTGTGTGCCAGGAGTTGTCACAGGCACACATGATTTCCTCAGAGGTTACGACACTTGCTGAAGGTCACACAGCTAGTAAGAGGTGAAGTCGGATTCCAGACCCATGGTCGTAGCATCCTGCCTTCCAGTGGATAGAGTGTGGGGGAGAGGGGATGATATGTTTTATTTTGTCTTTTTTTTTTTTTTTTTTTAAGCATCATTGAGTGTGATTAAATAGCCTGAAGGAGCAGTGGGTGGTTTTTTTTTTTCGTTTTCATTTATTATTTATTTTTGTTAAATATTCATTGAGGGCCTTCTCAGCCTAGGCCCGGTGATGCGTGCTATGGATAGAGAGATGAAGGAACTGATAAAAGACTAGTATCCATAATAGTATCCAGAATATACAAAGAGTTCCCACAAATTAATAAGAAGAAAACAGACTATGCCATTTAAAAATAAATGGGCAAACAACTAAAACAGGCAATTCACAAAAGGACAAATCCAAACAGCTAATGTATAAAAATGTGTTTGGCACCATTAATTATCAGGGAAGTGAAAAACAAAACACAGTGAAAGGTGAAGGAAACCCTTTCTCTGCCTTTGAGGGTTAGTTACTGGGTAGATGAAGCATCTACTATGTGCCCATTGCTATGCTGGGAATTAGGGGTGGGGGAAAAATCTCAGAAGTGGGCTTGTGCTTTTCCAGGGAAAACAAGACCCTCTTGAGGGTAGGGACCACACCTATGCCTGTTTGTCCCCTTAGAGTCTGGCACAGGGACTAGTGAGTATTAGGATCATTCATTCATTCAAAAGATATTTATTGCACACCTACTATGAGTCCAGGCAGTATTCTATGCAATAAGGATATAGAGGTGACTGACAAGCAATAAGGCAGTCTTGTGGATATCAGAGGGAACAGAGTGCAAAAGCCCTTAGGCCATCTTGGATTCAGTTGAGCCCGGTTGGCTGTACCAATCTTCATGCAGGAACAGCCAGGAGGCCCTTTTGGCCGGAGCAGAGTGAGCGAGGAGAGTGAAAGGAGATAAAGGCAGGGAGGTGACGGGGCAGAGCATGCAAGGCCTTGTGGACCACTGGAAGGATGTTAGCTTTTGCTCTAAGTGAGGTGGGAACCATGGAGGGTTCTGGGCATGCTCTGATGGATGTTTTACAGGATCACTCTGGCTGCTGCGTTGACAAGAGACCGTGGGGGGCAAGGTGGAAGCCGAGGGACCAGGAGGAGGTGACTGTACTAGTCTAGGTGAGCGATGGTGGGTGGTATTGCAGGAAGTGTTGGAGGACAGATGAACAAATTAACAGATGGACGGATGAACGGGTGAATGCATGACTGAATCCAGGACAGCCCATGGAAGAGGTGTTCTGAAGGGAGGGTGCAGGAAGTCTCCTTTGCAGAGAAGGGTGTAATTTCATAGAATTTGATTCTTGCCATGGCCCAGCAAGGTGGGTGCACTGTCCCATTTGCAGACAGGCAACTAAGGCCCAGGGAGATCAGGTCGCTCAGGGGACAGCTTTGTGGTTGTGAACTGGGACTTGGGGATTGGACAGACCTGGTGGTGTGACCGGGCTCTGTGTCTTGGACACATAACTTCAAAATGAAATACGCACTCTTTACCCTGCTCTACAAGGCCTTGCATGACCTGACGCCGACACCTCTCTTACTGCCTCCCTCTTCCCCTCTTCTCCCTCCGCTCCAGCTGCGCTGGTCTCCTCACCGATCTGTGAGCCAGGGGGCGCCTGTGAGCACCTGAATCAGAGATTTCCCTCCTCTGCTCACAGCCCTCCAGGGCTCCCGCCTCACTCAGAGCAAAAGCCAAAGTCCTCTGGCAGCCCGTCAGGCCCCATCACCTCCCTGTCCTTGCCTCTTCTCTTTTGCTCTCTCACTCTGCTCAAACTACACAGGCCTCCTCGCTGTTTCTCAAACATGCTAAGCATGTACCCACCCCAGGGCCTTTGCATGGCTTTTCCCTCTGCCTGAAACACTCTTGTCTCAGGTCCTTGCATGGAGGCTTCTTCCTTTCATTTAGGCCTCAGCTCCAACTTCACCTGCTCAGATCTTCAAGGAGGCCCTCCCTGACCATGTCTTAACAAACAAACTGTTAGAAATTATACTAGATATTTACACATTTGCTTGTTCAGTGTGTGTCTCCTCATCTGTACTTTACACTTCCGTAGAGCGTGGACAGAGCCCAACTAGCCTGTATAGCACCTATGAGTGAGTTAGGAAGAAGCAACCTTTCTTCCGGCAGACATCCCCAACCAGGGAACGTGGCCTGGCAGGCGGAAGTTGTCCTGACCGCCACCTAGGTCTGCTACTTTTGCACCATGAACAACCTCTGTAACTCACATGGTGGCCCTAGGCAGGGGCCTTGCTTGTCTTATTGAAGGCAGCATCCCCAGCATCTAAAACGGTGCTTGGAATATAGTAAGCTCCTGATAAAATGTTTGTTTAAAGGGGAGGGGGAGGGCGGAAGAAAAAGAGAGAGAAAGAAAAAAAAAAGGAAAGTGTGTCAGTCGGGACAGGTTTTGCTGCAGTAACAAACAACCCAAAATCTTAGTGGCTGAACTCAACAGAAGTTAATTTCTTGTTCCTGCTACATGTTCATTGCAGCTCGGCAGGAGGCTCCATCCATTGGAGTCACTCAGGGACTCAGCCCGGTGGAGCAGCCACCATATCAATTGTGGCTGGTCACCCTGCAGAGAGAAATAGAGCTCTGGAGGTCCTCACAGCAGCACTGAAATGCTTTAGCTCACGAGTGTCACCGTGTCCCTTCTTCTCACTCACTTGCCAGAACTAGTCACATGCCCACCCCAGTCACAAGGGGGTCAGCAAGTGCCATCCGCCCATGTGCTTAGAAAGGGGAGGGGCAGAAATATTAAGTGCACACAGCATGTGTGATGGCAGCAAACAGAAACACAGAAATTTAACCTCTCTGAGCTTCTGTTTCCTCATCTGTTAAATGGGCATAACCATAGCATAATTCTGCATGACTGTGGTGTGTAAGGGTTAAATAAGGTAAAGGAGCAGTTAGCATGGCGTTGTAATAAATACTAGTTGTTCTTATTATGTCTGTACGAAGATTTGAATGGAGGACGGTCTCTAAACACTTCATTGGGCCTGTCGGGTACTGGGAGTGGAGGGAGGGGCTGTCTGAGGCCACCACCAGGCCCTGAGCCCACTTTTCTGCCCTACAGATCCCCTGGGCACGCCCCCTCTTCTCGCTGCTCATGCCGCTGGGACTGGGGCGTCGGAAAAAGGCGCCACCTCTGGTGGAAAATGAGGAGGCCGAGCCAGGCCGTGGTGGGCTGGGCGTGGGGGAGCCAGGGCCCCTGGGCGGGGCTGGGGCAGGGGGGCCTCAGATGGGCCTACCCCCCCCTCCCCCGGCCCTGCGGCCCCGCCTTGTGTTCCACACTCAGCTGGCCCATGGCAGTCCCACTGGCCGCATCGAGGGCTTCACCAACGTCAAGGAGCTGTACGGCAAGATCGCTGAGGCCTTCCGACTGCCAGCTGCTGAGGTACCCACTGGGGTGCTGGGCACCAGGGCCCTGGGACCCCGGGCAAGACCACAGGGCCCCTGATGGTGGGCTAGAGGCCTGGGCCTGCATCCTGTTCATGAGCCAGGGCTTAAAGGCTGAGTTCTGAACTTCAGATACTGAAGTTATAGATGCTTAGGCCTGAACCCCAGTGGATTATGGGGAACTGGAGGTCAGGGCTAGATGCTGAGTTCTCATCAGGCCCTGGGAGGCCTGGATCCCAATGGATTATGGGGAACTGGAGGTCAGGGCTAGATGCTGAGTTCTCATCAGGCCCTGGGAGGCCTGGATCCCAATGGATTATGGGGAACTGGAGGTCAGGGCTGGATGCTGAGTTCCCATCAGGCCCTGGGAGGCCTGGATCCCAATGGATTATGGGGGAACTCAAGGTCAGGGCTGGATGCTGAGTTCCCATCATTCATTAGGAGGCCTGAACCCCAGTGGATTGTGAGGGCTGAAGGGAGGGAGACAAGGAGAAAAGTGGGATTGAGCAGAAGTAGACATAGGAGTCTCAGGAGGTGGGGTGGGAATCCGTTCCTCTGCCTTCATTCCCTAAGCATTTACTGAGCTCCCACTGTGGGTCAGGCTCTGTTCTATGCCCTAGAAAAAGTAGAGGACAAAAATCCCGGTCCCAGCAGAACTGACATCCTAGTGGGGCGCTGCCCTGGCTCAGGATGGTCAGTCACTGGGACAGAGACCCCCAGGCCTTCCCCTACTCCCCTCCCTACCCCCTCAGGAAAGGGAGGTGAGGGTTGAGTGTGTGCCGCCCTTGCAGGTGATGTTCTGTACCCTCAACACCCACAAAGTGGACATGGACAAGCTCCTGGGGGGGCAGATTGGGCTGGAGGACTTCATCTTTGCGCACGTCAAGGGGCAGCGCAAGGAGGTGGAGGTGTTCAAGTCGGCGGAGGCGCTGGGGCTCACCATCACGGACAACGGGGCCGGCTACGCCTTCATCAAGGTGCCTGGGACGGGTGCCCCCACCCCAACCCAGTCCTAAGGTGAGGACGGGCCTTGAGACCCTGGGTGGAGCCCGGGGGGCTGACCGCTCTCCTCCCCCCCCAGCGCATCAAGGAGGGCAGCGTGATCGACCACATCCAGCTCATCAGCGTCGGTGACATGATCGAGGCCATCAACGGGCAGAGCCTGCTGGGCTGCCGGCACTACGAAGTGGCCCGGCTGCTCAAGGAGCTGCCCCAAGGCCGCACCTTCACGCTGAAGCTCACCGAGCCCCGCAAGGCCTTCGGTGAGGAGATCGCTTGCTCACACGGGTCCAGGCTGCAGTGCTGGGAGCTGCCAGTAGGTGGCACCCAAAGCCAGTGGGCCGCAGAGGAAGTGGGAGCAACCGCACCCTGAGACTGGTGGTGGCTTTCTGCCTAGCCTGGGGGGAGGGTGGGGGCGAGGAGGAAGCTGCCCCCACACCCAGCTTCCAGGAGCCATTAGCCCAGCCAAGCACCCCCAGCCCTGGCCAGCCCCCCAGCCCAGAGGAGCCAGGCTTGACTGCATCATGCCAACTCCCCCACTTCAGTGACTGGCTTCACTAACTCTCAGGAATGGCCCCGAGGCCCCTGGGGTGGGGGTGGGGGACGCTAAAGCCTTTCCCCAGCAGGTAGGGCTGGTTGTGGCCCAGCAGCTGTAGACCCCTTGGCCATGGAGGGAGCAGCTGGGGACACAGGCCCCAGCCCTTTCCTGTCTCTGGCCCTGGGAGCAGAAGGGGCTCCTTCCAGTCTCCCCTCCAGCTCTTTGTCTCCAGCCTCTGGCTACCCATTCCATGCCCATGCCAAGCATGAGTCAGGAGTCCTGCCTTCCTGGGGTCACCTCAGCCCCCACCCCTGGGAGCCTATGGGAGCTTACAAAAGCTTGGAGAAGGGGGAGGATGGGTTCCTGCCTGTAGCATGCTGGCAGGGGGCTTCCCCAGCCCTCACCCCCTCCCTGCCTCCCACAGACATGATCGGCCAGCGTTCAGGGAGTGGCCGCCCTGGCTCCGGTCCCCAGCTAGGCACCGGCCGAGGGACCCTGCGGCTCCGATCCCGGGGTCCTGCTACAGTGGAGGATCTTGTGAGTATTCTGGCCACACACCCCTACCTCCTTGCCCCTGTGCACATTCAAATCTCACTTCTGCCACCTTCCTGCTCTGAGACCTTGAGCAAGTGAGTCTCTGTTTCCATATCTGTAAAATGGGGATGATAGTAACAATGCCTTCCTCTCATGGTTGTTGTGAGGATTAAATACGGGTTAGTATAATTAAAGTAGTTAAAAGAGGGCCTGATATTTGGTGAGTACGGTTACTATTATGTTCATGTTATTTTTATGTCACTGTTCCCCCAGCCTTCGGCCTTTGAGGAGAAGGCGATTGAGAAGGTAGATGACCTGCTGGAGAGTTACATGGGCATCAGGGACACAGAGCTGGGTGAGTGGTATGCCTGGGGCTGGGGGGGGAGTCTGGGGGAAGCAGCTTCTAGGTCTATGGGGCTGGATCTCTGCCCCTTATGCCATCTGTGTCTCCATTCTGCCCCTCCCCACTGCAGCGGCCACCATGGTGGAGTTGGGGAAGGACAAAAAGAACCCAGACGAGCTGGCAGAGGCCCTGGATGAGCAGCTTGGTGACTTTGCCTTCCCCGACGAGTTCGTCTTTGATGTTTGGGGTGCCATCGGGGATGCCAAGGTCGGCCGCTATTAGGCCACCCGCTGGACCTTGCAATGACCTGGGCTTGGCCTGGTGGGGACCTCTAGAGGGGCCACCATGCCCTGGACCCCAGCCCGAGGGCGGTGTGGAGCAGAGGTGGGGCTGGGCCCCTGCCACACTCCAATCGGTACCACCCCCTCCTCGTTCCCCAGCCTGGCTGGGGTTCCCAGGCCCCCTGCCCTGCTCCCCACCTACCTCAGCTGGGTTAGGCGCTGCAGGGAGGGACAGGCCAAATTGGGCGGCCATTCCCGCCCCCAACACTTTCCACATCAGCTGCCAAACTGGTCCCTCTGTCTCCCTGGGGCCTCGGGTTCTTCTTGGGGGTCACGACCTTCCTAGTTTCCTGACGCAGGGAATGGAGAAGGGGGGCATCCCCCTTCAGCAAATGCAATAATACTCTCCCTCCTGCTGCCCCCCAGAGGAGCCCCTTGCCCTGAAGTCTGTTACCTCCGAATTTCAATGAGTCTGCTGTGAACCCCAACCTCCTCCACCTCTCCCCGACCCAGCCGGGACCTGTCGGTATAGGGGACCAGGTGGTGGGCTTTTGTATCTAAATTTGCTGTCTGAACATAAAGAATCTATCTGCTGTTGGACCTGTGTGCTGTGGGTGGAAGAGGGGGTGCGCTGAGGCTGGGAAAGAATGTAGCAGCTGAAATCCATCCTCCTTGGACTCCAAACTGAATTAGGAGCTGCCGGCCCGCCCCCTCCCACCGTTCTGCCTGATGAGGCTCCTGGCTGCAAGCCATGTGCTTCCAGGCAAGGCCTACGGAGGGTTCAAATCCTGCCCCTTCCGAGTGAGCCTCCAGAAGGAGTCCTCCCGTGCCCCAGCCCAATGTCACATGGGCATAAGGCTGTTGTCTATGGTGGGGAGAAGGGGACCCCTAACCCTGGGGAGCACCAGGACAAGAGGGCATCCAGGCCCAGCTTGGAAAAGGGACGACCAGACAGCCAGCCCTAAGACAGAGCCTCAGGCCTGCCCTGGCAAGTGCTGATGGGAAGGAGCCGCCCCCACTCCACCCAGGACAGAAAGCGTTTCTGATGCTGCCACCCCCAGGGCAGAGGGGGCTCCTGATGCTGCCTCCCCAGCCTGCCCAGGGCAAAGGGAGGCTCCTGATGCTGCCCCCCAACCTCACCCAGGGCAAAGGGGGTTCCTGATGCTGCCCCCCCATCCCACCCCAGTGGATTCCTGGATGTGCAGGGTCTCTGGTGTCCATGGCAGGAGATGCTTTGCCAGGGACATAAACCCAGCTTGCTTGTTTTGACAACCCACTTGATCTTCAACAGTTGTGGGGGACAGGGAAGGGGGTGGGACCCTGGCCAGACCTGGAGGGGATGGGCCAGAACTGAAGCAAGGGGAGCCAGGCCAGAGGTTCCCACAGGAATGTTTGGGGGCAAGCCGAGAGGCTGTGGAGAAGTCTCAGCCCGCCTGCTCTCCCCACTACCAGCAGGGCGATGGGCGGCTGTGAAGGGGCCCTGGGTGGGTGGGTGGGGGAGCTGGGCTGGGTGTGCATGCTGGCTTGTGAGGTGAGGAGGCTCCACTGGGAGAACTGTGCTTACGGGGTGTGGGGCGGGGGGGGCAGTTGTTTGGGTTACTCTGGGCTCCCCGGCACGTGTCTGCACCAGTAGACCTTGTAAAGTTGTGAAGAGGTGTGGCTGTTTGTCTATCAGAGTGTCGATGGTTGGCGCTGGTGTTGAGGACTGTGACTTGTGTCTGTGTTTCAGGTAAAGGGTGTGACAACTGTGTTTGTGTTCTGGGGTGTCCAGTGGTGTAACTGGCAGTATCTGGTGGCATGGAGTGGGGGTGCGTGTGTGTCTCGGGGTATTCAGGGTGTTGAAGTATGGTTGCTGTTTCTGGGAGGGGGTGGTCAGCTAGGTCTTGGGTTCAGGGGTGTGCGCATTATGTCTCAGAGTTGCTTTTTCTGGGAAGGAGTTGACTGGCTAGGTCTTGGGGTATTCAGAGGTGAGGCACTCATCCTGTGTTGGGTGTGGAGTGTACCTTTGGGGCCTGTCTTGGATTAAAGGGTGTGTCTGGATGACATAGAGGGTGGCAGGGGGCTGTCTAAGAGATAAGGGATACAACCGTGTGTCTCGGTACTAGGTGAGACTTTCCCAGCACTAAGGGGTGGTGGTTGCCTCCGCAGGGGGCTGCATTTCGGGGTGGTGAGGGAAGTGGCTGCCCTGGTGTCTGTAGCTGGACACTGGCCTCAGCTGTATGCTGGGGGTAAGACGGTCTCATTGAGTTTGGGGCATGACGCCAGACCTGAGGCACTGAGGAGAATGGTGCTGACAGGTGACTGCAGCTGGGTCTCAGGGTATAAGACTGATGTGAACCCCAGGGGCGTGACCCTACTTCTAGAGCTAGGTGGTGAGGGGGTGTCTCCAGGGTTAAGGGTGTGACTGTTTTCTTGGCTTGAGACCATGTGTCCCAGGTGTTGGTCAGCACATCTTAAAGGGGAACCTAGGAACTAGGGGAGCGATAGAGGGGGAAGAGAGCCCTGCGGAAGCCAGGCCTCCTGGCTCCCGTCCCCCTTCGGTCTCCTTTCTCCTCCCCCTCCAGGGTATGACTGACTCGCTGGGTCCTGGCCTGGGCTTAAGCCCCTGTGTAAATAGTGGGTGGGTCCCTTGGCCAGGCTGGGTCTGACCCAAGGCAATGGGTCTCACCCAAGGCAATGGGTCTCACCCAAGGCACTGCTCTCTAGCACCCACCCCGACATCCACAAAGGTTCCATGGGGCGGGGGGGTGCCACTGCCCACAGGCAGGGTTGACCCCCCAACCCCACAGCCCCTGTAAGGGCTGCGGCGCCCCCTGAAGCCGCCCTGGACCGCCCCGGGCAACGCTCACATTTTCCAGTGTTTAGATTTTATCCGCTTTATTAATGAGGCAACTGAGAAGCCCGCCTGCAGGAGGAGGGGGCTGCTGCCTCCCCGCTGGGGGGAGGGGGTCCCGGGGACCAGGCCAAGTCGAGGGGGGAGCTGGGGCCCAGATGGGCCTGTGCCCATTGCCAGGACAACAGAGAGGGGGTCTCTGCCACCCCCGGCCCCCAACAGGAGCGAGGGAGCTGAGGGCGGGAGCAGCCCCTGGAGGGCGGGGGCGGCAGGAGGAGGCAGGGAGCCGAGGAGCCGCCCCGGAGGGAGGGAAAGAAGGAGTAAGAGGGAGGGAACAGCCTGTTGAGAGCCAGGGCACAGCGGGCGTGCAGCGAGCAGGCAGCAGGAGCCAAGTGGCGGGCGATGGGGACCCAGGGTCCCAGGCAGCGCTGGGTAAGAAGCTGGGGCGCAGGACCTCGGGGCGGGGGAGGAGGGCAGGAAAGGATGGGAGCAGCACTACCTCCGCCTGTCTGTCCTGGGTTCCTCGGCTCTCAGCCCCATCTGTCCGTCCTTCCTGTCCATCTGACTCACCACCAGGATAGGGAGGAATGGACTGTCCTGGGTCAGCTTTGAGGCCTCCAGAGCCCAGGCATGGAGAGGACAGGAATGGAACTGTGGGCATCCAGGGTGACGGCATGGTGGTCAGGGGCAGGGTCTGTGTAAGAGATAGCCATGGAGCACCGAGATGGAGTCATATGGACAGAGACAGGGTCGTGGGGACAGAGAACGGTGGGGGAAAGAGGGCCATGGGGACAGAGATGTGGCTGGGGGACAGTGGGCCATAGGGACAGAGATGTGGCCAAAGGGGATAGCGATATGGCCATGGGAGACAGAAATGGGGCCATGGAGTTAGACATGGGGCTGTGAGGACAGAGATTTAGTCATGAGGACAGAGATTTGGCTGAGGACAGAGATGGGGCTGTGGGGACAGAGATGGGGCTGTGGGAACAGAGACATCATCATAGGGACAGATGTGGCTGAGGGAACAGAGATGGGGCCATGGGGACAGAGATGTAGCTGAGGGGACAGACACAGGGCTGTGGGGACAGAGATAGGGCCATGAGGACAGACGTGATCATGGGGACAGAGACGTGATTGTGGGGAGACTGGGGGGAGATGTGCCCATGGTGGCAGAGACCAGCACTGGGCTTCAAGGATAGGACTGGAGTGAAGATGACGTGGTGAAGGTAAGAAATGGGGCAGTGGGGTTGGGTGGGTCCCTGAAACGGGAAACAGGTCCGTTGTGTCAGATGGGGCCAGGAGACAGGGATGTGTCAGTGGTAGTGATGGGGAGGTGGGGGGCAGAGATGGGAGCAGAGACACGGAGGTATGGGCCCCTGGAATTCAGGGAAGGAGCTGAGATGGACAGAGCAGGCGGGCAGTGGAGGGCTGAGCTGGGGTGGTGAGAGGCAGAGGAGGAGGAGGGGGTCAGGAACTGGGCAGCAAGGATCATTTGGAGTTGCCATGGGCAGAAGGGCCGCGCAGGAACACCATGAGGTCAAATGGGCCCTGAACCTGACAGGCACTGATGGGGCAGCAGGCTGGTGCCAACCCGAGTGGCGGCGTTGTGCCCCTTGCCCGCCTCACCTTGACCTCTTCCTCTCCCCAGCCCTCCGGCACCTGACATGGGCCCCTGCGGGCCCTTCAACCTGAGCCTGGTCAGCGAAGCGACCACGTGCGCGGCGCCGGGGGCTCCCAACGCGTCGGCCGCGCAGCCGTCGGGGCGTCCGGGCGGGTCACCGGCGTTGCCCATCTTCTCCATGACACTGGGCGCCGTGTCCAACATGCTGGCGCTGGCGCTACTGGCGCAGGCCGCGGGTCGTCTGCGGCGCCGCCGCTCAGCCGCCATCTTCCTGCTGTTCGTCGCCAGTCTGCTGGCCACCGACCTGGCGGGCCACGTGATCCCGGGCGCGCTGGTGCTGCGCCTGTACACTGCCGGCCGCGCGCCGGCCGGCGGCGCCTGCCACTTTCTGGGCGGCAGTATGGTCTTCTTCGGCCTGTGCCCGCTGCTGCTGGGCTGCGGGATGGCTGTGGAGCGTTGCGTGGGCGTCACACGGCCGCTGCTGCACGCTGCGCGCGTCTCGACGGCCCGCGCGCGCCTGGCGCTCGCCGCGTTGGCCGCTGTGGCCCTGGCCGTGGCGCTGCTGCCGCTAGCGCGCGTGGGTCGCTACGAGCTGCAGTACCCGGGCACCTGGTGCTTCATTGGCCTGGGCCCGGCGGGCGACTGGCGCCAGGCGCTGCTCGCCGGCTTATTCGCGGGCCTCGGCCTGGTCGCGCTGCTTGTGGCGCTCGTGTGCAACACGCTCAGCGGCTTGACCCTGCTGCGCGCCCGCTGGCGCCGCCGCTCTCGACGACGCTCTCCGGCTGCAAGCCCAGATGGCCGCCGCGGCCGCCGCCGCTGCGGGGCGCGCTCGGCCTCCGCGTCGTCCGCCTCGTCCCTCTCCTCTGCCTCCGCCGCCCCCAGCGGCTCCCCGGGTGGCGGCTCGACGCGCAGAGCCCGAGCCCACGACGTGGAGATGGTGGGCCAGCTCGTGGGCATCATGATGGTGTCGTGCATCTGTTGGAGCCCGCTGCTGGTGAGGGGCGCAGCGCCCCTCGAGCCACGCTCCTCCCTGCTCCCAACCTGACCTGCCCCTTCACAGCCTCCGACCACCTCCTTCCTGGGATGCCTGGGGCCTCTCCCTCACCCACCGCTGCACTGCCAGAATCCGCGCTTCCTCACAACCTCACCGTTCTCGTTCCCTAGGGTCCTAGAAGCCCCCCCGCCTCTCCCTCTGGCCACTCCCCTCTACGCCTGGCTCTGCCCTCCCGGACGAGCCCTGCCCTTTTTCCTTTCCATACAGGCTTTCCTCACTTTCCTCCTTTCCCCAGATAACTGCCGGGACTCACCCCCAGCCCCACCCTTCTAGGCCCCGCTCGTTATCTTCTACCTTCTGTCCTGTCCTTTGGGATAGCTGTGACTTCTCTCTTACCCGACATCCCGTCCCTGAAGGCCTTTGTTTCTACCAAGCCCTCTGAAGTCCCGCTTCTTCGCCTGCCTTCCATAGCTCCTCTCACGTACACCCCCATTTACCCTCACCAAGTCGTCCACACCTCCTCACAGCCCTTTCACTGTCCAACCTGCCAGCCACGCCCCTCCCCTCCCAGCCTTGCTCCGCGTTCACACCCGCTTCTGCCAACAGCCCGCATCCTTTTTCACACCTCCTCCCCTCCTAGCCCGCCCCACGGCCGCTGATGCCGGCTTCTCCGCAGGTGTTGGTGGTGCTGGCCGTCGGGGGCTGGGGCCCCAGCTCCTTGCAGCGGCAGCTGTTTCTGGCCGTGCGCCTGGCCTCCTGGAACCAGATCCTGGACCCCTGGGTGTACATCCTGCTGCGCCAGGCCGTGCTGCGCCAGCTGCTTCGCCTCCTGCCCCCGAGGGCCAGTACCAAGGGCGGCCATGTGGGGCTGGGCCTGACGCGGAGTACCTGGGAGATCAGCTCGTTGCGTAGCTCCCGGCACAGTGGCATCGGCCACTTCTAGACGCGCCCAGAGGCGTTTCAGCTGAGCCAGACCATCCCGAGCCGGGCAAGCGGCGCGGAGCCTTCGGGGAATAAAGCCACTTTGCCGACGAGCCCAGCGCGGTGTGTCCGGTCGGTGCTGCAACGCCGATTGCTGCCTCGCCGGGGCGGCAGAGGCGCCTGTTCGTCGCTGAGGCAGGTGCGCTTCCGGCACTGGCCACGCGGGAGCGCATACACCGACGCTCCGTCTTCAGGCGGCAAGTGCCCAGCCGACGGAGCCGGAGCAGCAGGAGCATTCGCAGAACGCCGCCGCCGTTGCCGCTGCCCGGGAGCAGAGGCTCAGTTGGACGCAGAGCAAAGTGGCTAGGGGCGCTTCTTGCCCCTCCTACTGCCAGGACGGACTCTCTCAACCATTCTGCCCATCATGGCCCTGAGCTACCCCAACACAGCCCCAAAACTTTACCCCAAAACCATGCTCCATCACAGCCTCGAAACCCAGACGTCCCCCAACACAGCCCCAAGCCCCTCTCATCGCCACCTGCGCATGTGCCCTACTACAGCCACCTTCCCCCCAACAGTCCTATGTCCTCACCCTTCCTTGATCCCTTAGCCCAGAGCACCTCCCCACCACTCCCTGCCACCCCACCTTCCAATTCTCTCCACTTCCATGCATTCCCCCCACCCAGTACTGCGCACAAGAGACGAGGATGCATAGATGGGGTAAATCCCAAAGGCGTTTTTAAAAACTATTAAGAGCTCGGTGGGGTAGGGGTGGGGAGGGGCTAGCAGTCCCCTGCCACGAAGTCGAAGTCCTGGAAGGCCGCCTGCTCGGTGGCCGTCAGGGGCCGTGCGTCGCGGGGCGGGCTCAGCGTGGGGGCCTCCCCCGTGAACTCCTCGTCGAAGTTGCTGACATCGGTGCGGTCCGATAGCGTGGGTACGAAGGGTGGTGGCAAGCGCCGGGTCAGCAGGGCGTCCCAGCCCAGTGTCTGCAGGGTAGGGGTGGGGTTCAGCATGGGAGGCTGGGGGCTAGACGCCAGGAGAGGCTAGCCCCTTGGCCCTGTCCAGCCCTGGGTCTGTGGGGACCAGCAGGAGTCACTAGAGGAAAAAAGGAATGCGGGGAACTGGGGGCTCAGGGAGAGTCACAGTGCTGGGGGGGACCCTGGTGGCCAGTGGGGGAAGCCTGAGCTCACACACAGTGCGGCCTGGCCATCCTGGGGTGGGGTGGGTGAAGGAGGGTCAGTAGGGGTGAGGGATGGCCAAGGAGGTGGGGGGTATCAATGCGAGGGGACAATGTTTGAGGGGAATGGCCAGGGGGGATGGCCAGGCCCTTGTGGTTGGGACAGCCAGGCCCTTCAGGAAGGATGACCAGGTCCTTGGGTGGGGATGACCAGGCTCTTGGAGGCATGGCTGGAGCCTTGTAAGGGGTGACCAGACCCTTGGGAAGGATGACTAGGTTCTTGTGGGGGATGGCTGCACCCTTGCAGGGGGATAACCAAGCCCTTGAGGTGGGTGGCTGTGCCCTAGTGGGTGATCTCACCCTGAAGAAGGGTTGTTTTTTCACATCCTCTGCATCCCTGTCACTGGACCCCAACCTCCGCTCTGGATTCCGCCGCAGCAGCTGGGGGGAGGGAGCACTCTGTCAGGGTCTGTCCCCTCCTGGGCACCGAGGTTCCCTCCCCAGGCCCATGGGGGTTCTCCCCATGTTGGGGAGATCCTCACCCTTCGCATGATGCCGATGGCTTCAGCAGACAGGAAGCGGGGGTAGCGAACCTCATCATTGACGATGCTGTCGAATACCTCCTCCTCATCATCCCCTGGGAATGGGGACTGGGGACAGGGAGGGCCAGGTGAAGCAAACCTCCTCGTCTGGCTCCTGCAAGCCCGGCCCTCTGAATTTTCAGATGGTGTTCACTTACATGGAGGGTGGTGAGTACCCCCATTTTACAGATGCGGAAACTGACGCCAGAGAGTGAAGCCACCCGCCCCCAACCACACAGCACACACTGTGGAGGCTGATTTCGATCCCCACCCCTGGACACAGGATGGTTCCATTCTAGTGAGGTCCGATGGACACACAGGGTAGGGGGGGCGGGGCAGGGGCCTCACCTCCCCAACCAGCATCTCGTAGAGCAGCACGCCCAGCCCCCACCAGTCCACGGCCCGTGTGTACGATGTGTCCGTCAGCACCTCGGGCGCCAGGAACTCCGGGGTCCCACAGAACGTGCTGGTCCGGTCCCCATAGCCCATCCCTGGGAGCAGCAGAACCATGCAAGGTTATAAGTGGGTTCTAGCTCTAGCCCAGCCTGGAGTGGGGGTGGGGGCATTCCAGACAGCCAGTCCATCCCAGGGACTGGGTGGGGAGCAAGTCCGTACTGAGTGAAATCCCCAAAGGCCAGTCCCTTGAAGCCCAGCCCCTGCTGGACAAATCCAGCCTTCCATCGCCCCTCACCCTCCTTGCAGAGCCCAAAGTCTGCGATCTTGACATAGCCCTTGGTGTCCAGGAGCAAATTGTCCAACTTCAGGTCCCTGTGGAGGATTAGGGGATGTAAAACGGGATGCAAGCGGGTTGGGTCTTGTCTGAAACTGGACGATCCCCCAGTGGGCAGAGTACAGGTGTGCACACATACACACCTGTAGACAATCTTGTGTTCATGGAGAAACTGCAGCCCCAGCACCACACAGGCCGAATAAAAGCTGCAGAGAGAGGCTGGTGTGAGGGGGCCAGGCCGCCCGCCAAGAGGGCATCACATAAACCTGGCTCTCCCATCCTCAAAGGCCCTCCAGCCCCTAAACTCCAGGAGGCTGGGGGAGGTGGGGCCTGAGAGTGGAAGGGTGCAAAGGGGGCTGCGAGGCTCCCAATTCTGAGGAGTCAGGGGTGCTGGGGGTGGGAGGGTGAGCAGGGAGGGGGCCAGGGGCAGGGCAGGACTGGCATCAGGGGTGCTGGGGCAGGGGGCTGGGCAGGGCAGGGGGCGGAGCAGTGGGACTCACACAGCACGGGGCTCAGAGAACACGTCGCTGTGGATGTGCAGCATCAGGTCCCCGCCAGCCGAGTATTCCATCACGAAGCACACGTGCTCTGGCGTCTGGAAACAGCCAAACAGGTTCACCAGGAAGGGGTGCCCCGCACTGGTCACAGCCGCCAGGATCCGCTTCTCACACATCAAGCTGGGAGGGCGAGGGCAGGGGTCAGAGGCCACAGCTGCCCCCACCCCAACCTCCAGAGTCCTCCATCAACAGATATTTGTGGAGGGCTTCCTGTGCGCCAGGCCTGGTTCTACGTTGGGCCTTGCTTTGCTGGGTGACCTTGAGCAAGTTGCTTAGTATCTCTGAACTCTGGCAGTCTTGTCTGCTTAAATGAGCACACAGAATCTATCCTTCCTGCTGATAACAGGCCCCTAATGTCCCTTTCGGGAACTACCAGGGTTGAGCATGAGACCCAGGCTAATCAGAGCTCCCCATCTCCCTGGCCAAGGATTGGTTCAGGGATGAGCAATCCAAGCTAATGGGGCTGTATCCCAGGATTTCTACTGGAACTATTAGGAAAGAAGGACTAAAGCTAGTAGGATGAGCCTGAAGCTGCTGAGGTAGGGGGCATTTCTGCCCCCACAAGGGGACTACAGGCAAAGCCCACTAAAGGGAAAGCAGAACTAAGACACATCTTCACCTGGATACAGCTATGCCTGAAGGTAGAGCACCCCTGGACTTTTCTAGTTCAGATCAATAAATTCCTTTATTTGCTTAAGCCTATCTGAGTTGGGTTCTAGATTAATAAAAGGATGTCAGGAGGATTGGGGATCATCTCAGTGCCTCTATCAAGAGTTTACAGGGGGCAGGCACTGTGCTGAGTGCTTTACATGCATCCATCCTCTCATTTAATCCACCCAACAATCCTGCAAGGAAGGCATTATTCTCTCCCTTTAAGATTGGGAGGCTGAGACTCAGAGGGTGAAATGACTTCCCTAGGGTCTCCAAGCACATCGGTGACAGAGACGGGATTTGAACCCAGGGCCCCTGACCCCAAAGTAGAGGCAGTGTAGCGACACCACTAAGAGCAAAGGCTTCAAAGTCTGACTCCTTAGATTTGAATCCTGGCTCTGCTGCTTACTGGCTGTGCGACCTCTAGAAAATTGCTGAACCCCTCTGTGCCATGAGTAGAAATGGGGACAATAACAGTATTAACCTTACAGTGTTACTACTGTAAAGCATACACACACACACAAAAACAAAAAACAAAAAACCGAACTTATTGCTGTAGAGTCCATTCCAACTCATGGCAACCCTATAGGACAGAGTAGAACTGCCCCATAGAGTTTCCAAGCAGCCCCTGGTGGATTCAAACTGCCAACTTTTTGTTAGCAGCCGTAGGTCTTAACCACTACACCACCAGGGTTTCCCTGTAAAGCACACAGTGTGTGCTTTATAAGAGTTGGTGTTATTATTTTAAATACTAGCTTAATAAATGTGAGTGACTGTTATGAGTCATTTTCACGGCAGCTCCAAGGAGGGGAACTGTTCTATTTCCCATTTCCCAGAAGAGAAGACCAAGGTCACCAGACGGCCTGAGCAGGGTTGCCCACCTCTCCACCTCGTCTCGGGCCACAATGTCCCCTTTCTTCAAAGCCTTGATGGCGAACAGCTCCCCACTGGGCCGGAATTCGGACAACAGCACCTGGAACCACAGCAGGCAGGGGTGGGGTTAGGGCCCAGCCCAGAGAGCCGGAGACCTGGACTCCCAGCCTCCCACTCCCCAGCCCTCACCTCACCTTCCCAAAGTGACCCCGGCCCAGCACTGCCAGAAACTTGAAATCCTTGAGGGTCAGGGGCGACTTCCTCAGAGGGCTGTGGAGAGAGGATACTGGTGGGGACAAGGGCGGTGGGTGGGGGTCGTGGGTAGGGGCTGGGGGAAGGTCATCACCTGCACAGGGCGGGGCCTGGGGTCTCCTGGGTCTCTGAAGGTGGTGCAGGAGTGAGGGGTTGTTCCTGGATCCGGGAACTCTGCAGCAGGGAGAAGAGGTCAGAGTA